TTACTACGCTGATAAAATGGAAGAGTTTGCCAGTACTGCAGACATCTGTCGTTTTACCCGATGGAGGAAACGCACGTTTCCAGCTGCGACGCCGCCGCTGAAGGATCCCGGGTCTGATGAGTGGGTTGAGGACACTGAGGCTAAGCAGGAGCTTTTGTTTCGTACTTTCACGAATCCAGGTGTTCCTGCCGAAGATCAGCTAGAACCACCCAACGCATTCCCGTCGACTCTGCCGTTCCCAGACATCACAAGACACGAGGTACGACAGTCGGTTTTGGAAACTCCGTCAACTGCCCCAGGCATGGACGGTATTCCCGTGTCACTATTGAAGGTCGCATGGCCTTTAGTTGAGGATCGGGTTTTCCATCTATTTTGCGCCTGCCTGAAGCTTGGCCATCATCCCGACTCTTTCCGTAAAGCTAGAGTTGTGGTGTTGTCCAAACCTGGAGACCGAGACCGCTCGACTCCTCGATCTTATCGGCCTATCTCACTTCTGTCTACCTTAGGCAAAGGGCTTGAACGTCTTGTTGCCCGTCGGCTTTCTTACGTAGGGCTTGAGCATGGTATATTTGGCTCACAGCAGTTTGGTGCACTCCCACGCCGTTCTGCTGTCGATCTCACTTCTTGTCTTGTTCGGGATGTTGACTTTCAGTTTCGCAATCTCCGTGTTGCGTCATTGTTGACTCTCGACATTCAGGGGGCTTACGACGCTATTTTTCCCGGAAGACTTCGACGAAGGCTAGCTGAGCAAGGCTGGCCTAAGCCACTTGTGGACTGGGTGTTTAGCTTCGCTAGTGATCGTTCGGTTGCCCTGACTCTCGATGGGCATCAGAGCCGCATGTTCAAAGCTCAACGTGGTCTGCCACAGGGCTCTCCGATTTCTCCGGTGCTGTTTCTGCTGTATACCGCGCCCCTGCACCACTTAGCGTTACGATCGTCGTCCTTTGGATATGTTGATGATGTTGCTCTCTTGGCAAGAGGCACATCAGTGGAGGATACTGTACAAGACCTTGCGGCTGATGTGGAGACTCTCCTCACGTGGGCAAAAGAAAACGCTGTCAGTTTTGATCCAAAAAAGTCAGAGCTGTTGCACTTCACCAGGAAGCGGCGACCGGGAACCCAGGTCAATCCAGGGATCTCGTTGCCTGCGACTGCGGACCGGCCAGCTTGGGCTATTGACGCTGTCCCTCGGGATGGCTGTGTACGATGGCTTGGTGTCTGGTTTGATAGAGGGATGACCTTCATTCAACACATTCGACGAGCAAAAAGCAAAGCTCTTGGATGTGCCGGGACTATACAAGGCATGGGAAGGATGATGAGAGGCACTGCTCCTCGCGTTCTGCAAAGAGTAGTCAGGGCCGCGATTCTCCCCATCTTTCTCTATGCTTCATCGACGTGGTGGCCTGTACCGGATGCCAAGCATCATCGTGCTGGAGGACGGACCATATTGCAGGCCACCACGCAAGTGCTGCGGGCAGCTGGAAAGGCGGTTCTGCCAGTATGGCGGACGAGCCCAACCGCTGCTATTCTACGTGAGGCCGGTCTCCCAACCGCCCACAGCCTGCTCCAATATCACTCGGCGTGTGCAGCCCTTCGAGCTCACACCCTTGAACCAAGTCATCCTCTGCGGCAAAGGCTT